TTGAATGCCATGAGTTCAACATCACGTGCTTGACTTCAGGACACCATGGTGGCCAGGTACACAGTCAAAATAGCCTAACAGTTTTAAGTTTATGTCCACTATATCTGCTCCTGTTCAACATTCCCTTGCTTCACTAGGGTACACACTTTAGAAATCCTGCCATATCCTTTCAAGCATTCTGTTTTCCCTTACATTTCACCTTCAGTTTTTAAGAGTCTGTGGACTTTGGCTCTCATCCCTCATTATTCCATTAACTGAAAGAGAAATATTGTCCAAAGGTCAGTTCAGGTAAGGCCTTCCAGGACAAGATGTCCTGTTAATGGTGTTTTGGGGAACCAGCAGCACATGGAGAGGACTTCCGGGTGGCGGGAGTTGGTTTGTGGGCCAGGAGAAGAAAAAGGCCCTACAGAGAGACGAACACCCAGGAGCTAGAATCAGGAATCTGAGACCAGCTCTCCAGGCTCGAGCTGGATAATGTTTCCAAGGAGCAAAGTGAATGAGGCTCTTCAGAATAAATATGTAGAATTGTGATCAAAAAGTGTTCCAGAAAGGGAGGAAATAATTATTAAATTGAATTTCAGACCAAACAAAGCAAACTTTCATTAGAGATTATAGATATATGCATATAAAACTTGGATACATGGATTTTTCTGAGTTATGAAAAAGGCTTTTTAAAAAGGTGGAGTTCTGACTGGGTGTGGATTCTGAAAGTTAAGAGAAGACAGGATGGATGGTGAATGAGCTGTGGTGATTCTGCACTGAGTCCCACAGCTTCATTAAGCTTTCAACACTAAAGTTCAATCACAATCAGTTATTACTCTTAAGATAAATCTCACTCTAACTTTTTCTAAACATAATTAATTAGCACAGTTGTTTAAAGCTTCAGGGTAACCCTCACAGCCTCTACTACTTTACCTCCAGGTTCCTGCATTTCTTTCATAAGCCTTTCAACTACAATATTTCATTGCATTGCAAAAATACAGTAATCCACTCCGTGTAGGCCAGGTTCTCATGGGCAATGAGGACGCAACTCCTAACTGAGGACACTATGTCCCAAGAACTGCTTTATACATTTTCCACAGCATTTCCTCCTTACCCACAGCAGCAGCATAGGGACATCACTTTTTCCTCTTAATAATTCGATATTATCTGGAGCTTAATCCTCCAAAAAAGAATGATATATTTCAGAATGGTAGGAAAATGCTGGGGAAAAAATAAGGACTTTCAAGGTTCTCCAGGCCATGTTCAGCAAATAAGCATCTATTAAACGACTGAATGGTGCAATATATGTTGACAATCTAAAGACCATGAGGAATACAAAAATGGTATGAATAGTTCATGCAAGAATTAGGAAATACATGCACACAGAACCAGAGAATAGGTTAAAGTGAAAAGCTGAAAGAAAAAGAAAAGTCATAAAACTGCGACATTCATTTTGGTATATTTGGCACAAAGATCACAGTGGGGATTCACTAAGCATTGGATTGTTGAATAAGTGAATGAAATTATTGATTAAAGAAATGAAATTACCCGATTAATTAAATGGTAAATTTTTCAGTATTGACACAGACCAGAGAAAGAAGATGCATTATGAACTGAGCACTAGAAAGATTTCCCAAGTAAGAAGGGATCTGAACTAGGTCTAGAAGAAAGCAAAATATCTGATCGCTCCTGGGGAAGATGGGAAGTCACCTGGGTGGAAGGAAGACCGTGGATAGGCACAGGGCTGCCTCCTCAGTCTCCTCTCCCAGCTCCAACACCCCAACCTTCCTCTACTCCTGCTCCTTAAGTGGCTGTGCCCTGAGCTCATCTGCTCTGTTCTTATTCACCCTCCTCCTGAGTTCAGCCCAGCTAGTTCTTTGAAGTCTTGAAGCTGGTACAGATTCTGTTACAGCATCTTTGGTTTAACCAGGATTGCCTTTGTCCTTCAGTGCAGAAAAACAGTGCTTGCCCGATGTATGATTCCAGTCTTTTGCAAGCAAAACAATAAGTTATTCTAAATGAGGCAAGAATCGTGATGGATATCTTCTCCCAAGCTGCTGTGAATTTCTGGCCTTTAGAGAATTCCAGGAAGATGTTCCTGGCAGGTCCTCACAGTAACCCTTCAATTCTCCTCGTGCCTCTGCTCCAAAATCAGGGCCAACGTGAACACGGCCTTGTCAGGCTTTTGACAGGCCCATGACACAAAACCTTAGGCTCCTCCGTATGCTGGGGATTTGCTGCCCAGGCCTAGGAAGCTATCTTCTAATTCAGGTTTTCTGAACACTTCCAGTGTGGCTTCTGTCAGAGGCTCTTGGAATCAGAGTAGCTTTGTAATTTGTCTCATGATAGGTAAGATGTTACCCGAACAAAACCATGAACTAGTTAGGTTTTTAGAAAAATCTTTCCCCTCCATTGTGTGTGTGCACGGGGAACCATTGATGGTGGTATTCTTCCAATGACAGGTTGCTTTCTTTACTCAGAAAAAGGCTCCCAATAACATACCATTGTGTTTCAGAGGCTGTCCACTTTGATTCTGCTTTGATGGGGACAATATGAGACACCAGGAGCTGTGTCTGCTTTTCCAAAACAGCTCACTTTTGTGTTGAGAAGAGTGGTTTCACTTGTGACAGGGTTGAGAGACTACTTTCTGCTCTGTTCCTGCTCCCTTGAGCCAGCAGCACCGTCCTTGATGGGAAAGACAAGCTGCCAAGCTGCTGCACTGTTATCTCATGAAAAAGAAAACTATAAACTCTATCAACATTATAGGGCCTCGTATTTCCAAAACAGTGTTCCAGCCCTTCAAGAGCCAGCAAGCACACAGAGGATACTAAGAAATGAAGGAACAAGGACAGGGTATAAAACTCGCATGACAAGGAGTCAGATGGAAAGGGCCAAATCCTGCCATGAAAAATTCAGTATTGAGGTTCTAGGGCCAGTCTTTGAGTAAAAATGTTCCAGTGAAGGCTGAACGTTTTTCTCCCTGGGTTATAACTGAAAGTTTTTCTCCATGGATTTTAAAAATCCTTGGTCTATGAATCTAATGTTTTGGTGGTAATATTATGACTTTTTTTTTTCTTTTTTTACCAAATGTTTAAAAAAATAATAAAACCCACACTGTCCTAGGAACAGAAACAATCAAAATTCAGGAAAAGGCTATCTGGATCCGAAGGAGGTATTTTTTCATTACTAAGAGCAGATAAATCACAGGTGTTGATTCTACAACTCTGAGTAATGCCACTTCCTGTCTGGGGTATCCTTCCCTGATTATGAATTTGGGGTTTTATTTTTCAGTGCTGGGGACAGAATGTATGGCCTCACACACGCTAGGCAAGCACTCTACCTCTGAGCCACACTCCCAGCCCTTTTATGTTTTGTTTTGAGCCATAGACTAAGTTGCCTGGGCTAGTCTCAAACTTGTACTCCTCCTGCCTCAGCCTCCTGAGGAGTTGGGATAGCAGGTGTGCACCACCACACCCAGCCTCTTTCCTGGTTAAAGAGGGAAATAAGTCCCAACACTTGTTAGGCCCGCTTTCCCTGAAGTTAGCAGATTTCCCACATGAAAGCTCTGCGTGTGTGCCAGCCCTCCACCAAAGGAGGAGCAGGTTCAGGACCTGGCACTGTGCAGCCGAGTGGCACTGCTCCCAGAACTCTCATCCAATAAAGAGCCATTGTGGGATCTGCACCCTTCAATGTACAGGACAAATGACTCAAATGAATAGGCCCAATGCTTGTGAGTGAGACCCGAAACTTGAATGGGGTGGTAATCACTTCCTCCGAACAGACCACAGTATTTTCCAGGGAACTTCACTCTGTAACGCAGTCCTTGCCTCCTGTAATAGTACCGATTTCCATTTTTTAGTTGATAAGTGAGCATGATTACTGTGAGAATCATTAGGCAGTGAGTTGCTAGCACTGGGGGGCCAGAGAAGTGGAAAATTGTTTGGGGAGATGGGATGGGATTGGCATTCCTCAGGGAGAGACAAGAAAGACAAGGAAGTGCTGTTATTTGATCAAACGGACTGTGAGAGGTAATGGTGTAAGGAACTAAACTGGACCTGAGGCTTCAAAATAACTATGATTTCACCATAAGAATGACATAGGAGGCACAAAGTAGGGCTGGGGGCGTTCAGTCCCCACTCAAGGTATCCACTGAGCAAGTGGCACTCAATTGAGGGCTTCCAGTCCCTGAGGCTATAGACCTAGTTCTTGACCCACACATGAAGGGGGCTGGGAGGAGTAAGCGTGTTAATTCAGGCTGAGCCATCTTTTCCATCTGGGTGGCCTGTGGTGACTCCATGCCACGGCCAGCCTCACTGTAGAAAAACAGAAAAGCAAAGCCAAACCATTGCTACTCTCAGCTAAGCTTTCTCAAGTACATAAATAGAACGGGACAGCAAGAGTAGACTTCATGGTCAGGTGAAAAATGCTCTTGCTGCTGCATTCCATAATGCTCAGTTTTAGTAGCTGGTTTATTTAAGCTAATTTAATCAATTTTAACCAGGAACATGATCTGTCTCAAATAACTGTCTTTACTACCTGGAGTTGGAAATGGTCATAATTTTTCTTCTTAGTGTTCCTGGGGTTGGAACCCAGAGCTTTGCACATGCTAAGCACACACTGTACCATTGAGTTGCAATCCCCCCAGCCTACAGATCACAACTTCTTATTAGTGCCTCTTGGTCTGCTGACTTCAGACATGCATAACTCTCAATGAATATATATTACCTACATCCACCATTTTTAATTTTTTAAATCCCTAACTCTGAGAAAGGATGCGCATGTTTCAACCAAAAGGCCATTTGATTGTCCATTATCATTTTCACTTTTAATATTTGACTAACATTGTTCTAGCTTCCCAAGAAACTTACAATGATGATGGGTTATTTTTAAACATGCATAATGTCTTTCCATTTATGACATCATGACCTTGGAGTGCGTAGATCATATCTTGCTAAAAAGTACAAACAGATATTTCTTCCAATAATCCAGCATTAAGTTCTCACATGTCATCAACTCACCAGAATTAAGCAAAATGATAGATTTGAGGCACACAAATTCCTCTCCCTGCAGATTCATCATACGGAACCGGGTCGACGTAGCCAGCAACATGTCAAAGATCTCCACCATGCCCTCTACACATTTACCCTGATTCCTACAAAAACAAATTTTTAGAAGCATTAAAGGACAGGAAAGTTTCCGCAAAACCCCAAATTACATTTATAAAAAGCTACCGACTCCAAATCTGTAATAAAAACCTGCAGCCCATCCTCTTAATGGAACATGGACATTCATTTGAATTCCAGAAGGCAAGACGAGCAAAGATTTTTCCATCAATAAACATCTTCACTTCAAATTCCTAGAAAAGATGTGTTTAGTTGCCAAATCTACGACATTAAATGTGGAGTTCTTCAATCTATAGTAACTGAAAATAATTAAGATTCAGGCAATTTTTTTTTTCTAATACAGTTCATTGCTCTGTTACTGTATTCTAGATATTGTAGTAGTCATGAGAATAAAAGGGGAGGGTTTGCCCTCAAGATGCTCGTGACCTTCAAGTAATATACCAATGTGCCAAGAAGTTTACTATGGTGTGAGTCTGGGCTGGATCATTGGTGTTATAAAGGACTGTGGGGAAGAATGTACCTAGGAAGTGACATTTGAGTTAACCATAAGAGAATGTAGGATTTCCTCAAGTAAGTATGTGAATGCATAACTAGAAGAAAGTCCTACACAGAAAGAGAGCAGCAGGAAAGAACACAGAGTGGTGGCTGTAGGTGATGAGGTAGGCCTGTGTAGCTGACGAAGCTTCTCCTATACCATCAAAAGAAATTCAGGCCTTCTCCCCTTCCAACAGAAACTTGGCGTCAAGGATTTCACCTTAGTGGTTGCAACTATTAAATAAGCAAATTCAAAAGGTCATAAGACGTAACATTTAAAAATGCACATGGCCATATCCTATCTGTGGGGTTGTTTCAGAAATAAAGAGAGATACTATATATGGAAGGAATCCATTCATTTGAGGGCATGATATGTTTGAAAATTTTAAAACACAGGAATAAGTTAAAAGAGTCCGTGCATATTCAGTCATTTGTAAAACACATAACATTTAAATATGAGCAGAAACATAATTCAGGACTTCATTTTGTCTTTGATTAATAGATCTTGGAGTTCTTTATTAACCAAGTTTAACAACTGAACAGTTATCACTGAACAGAATGCTATACAATCATTTGTCACATAATGATGGGGACACACTCTGAGAAATGTGCTGTTAGACAATTCTGTCACTGTATGATCATCATAGAGTTTAGATAAACTAAGATGGCCACAATGTCACTAAGCAATATAACCTTACGGGAACACCATTATACATGTGGTCCATTGTTGACCAGAACATTCTTAAGTGGTATATGACAATTTATTTATCCACCTCTTTTTTAGTTGATATTTAGCTTGATTCTAAGTATTGTGCTGTTACAAACATTTCACAAAATGATAATCCTATGTTTATGCCCTTGGACACATATAGATAGCTACAGAATACATTATTAGAGTTAGAATTGCTAGAACAAAAGACATAATATATTTTTATTTACGATAGTTTAAAACATTGGTTTCAAAGAGCTTGTACCAATAAGCTACTGGTAGAATAATTTTTCCCCCTTATTCTGGCTATTGAACCCAGAGCTAAACATGGGGTTTACCACTAAGGTACACCTCCAGTTCCATAGGAAACTATGTTGACATGAGATTTTCCTCTGAATTGCCTGCTGTAGTACTTTGCCCACAATTTTCAGTTGGGTTATTGGTCATTTTCACCTTGATTCTTTTTTTTTTTAGAGAGAGAGAGAGAGAGAAATTTTTTAATATTTATTTTTTAATTTTCGGCGGACACAACATCTTTGTATGTGGTGCTGAGGATCGAACCCAGGCCGCACGCATGCCAGGCGAGCGCACTACCGCTTGAGCCACATCCCCAGCCCCACCTTGATTCTTAAGAGATATTTATATATGATAGTAATTAGTGCCATGTCATACATCTTTCTAATATGGTTTTCCCATGGTTTGTCATCTTTTTTTTTAAATTTTGTTTCTGGTGTTTTCTTCCTAAAATGATTTAATTATTGCAGGATCAGATTTATCAAACTTTTCATTTATGGCTCTAGAATACTATGTCTTGCTGGATAAGGTCAGTCCCCATTTCAATAACACATAAATCTTATGTTTCCTTTCAGTAACATTCTATGCTTTTATGTTTAAATTTCTGATTTTCTGGAATGTATTCATTTTTTATAATGACTTTATTAAGAGATACCCACATGCTATATAATTCACCCATTGAAAGAATACAATGCAGTGGATTTGGGTGTATTCACATAGCTGTGCTACCTACCCTCTTGTGGGATTTGTTTTGGTGTAGTCTTAAGATAAGATTCAGCTTAACACTCTTTTCAGGTAGCAAGTTGGTGTCCTCAACACCATTTTGGAACAAACCACTGGCTTGAGATAGACTAGGGACTCTTTATATTCATTTCCAGAGTGTTATTTTTCCTGTTGTCCAAGTAGTGGAATTAGGACTCTAAACTTTCCTATCAAACCACACTGCCTACATACTAGAAGGAAGAACCCTAACAAAAAGGTTTTCTTTGTCTTCTTTTCTTTAATTCAAAATTATGAGGATCTATTATATACCAGTCCTGTGCTCCACATTAGGGCATAGAGAAGAAAGCAATGGGAATCTTAAATGAAGAGGTGAAAACTGGGAGCATAGGTGCAAGGACATGAGATGCCATCCACAGAAAAGGTCCAGAAAGAATCTCTGCATCTAATGTCAGTCTCCACCAATTTCATCTGTGTCAATATGGAAGCATTTGCCATAGTATGTTCGACACAGTTTAGTAAGTGTTTTTAATGTGAAATATTTAGAATGCTGTGTGGCATTTGACAGGGATGATATTTAAGTATTAGTTACGTATATGTTGATGAATAGAGAGATGAGTGTCTGTCAAGGGAGAAGCATCTAGAATACGAGTGCTGTGTGCATTTCATGTTGACCATGGAAATCTGGACGTACAGGGGAAATTTTAAAAGCCATATTGCTCAAAGTGAGGATGAGATAGTGGTCTCTCCAAAGGGGCCCTTGGCCTTAAGTGGAGAGGGCATCCTAGGAGTGGGTTTTCCTTGTCATCTAGCTGAATTTTGCAAATGAGGTACATTTTCTTTCCAGTGAAAAAATAAACAAGGATAAGGGAAAATGTTTGGAAGATGAAGCTTTAAAAATAACAACTCATAGCCAAAATAGAGAAATGTTCCTTTCTCAGTATAAAGTCTCTGTTTACTTAGCAGACTGAACACCAGCAGGGAGGAAGTCTTGATGTGGGAGGAAGCCTGCCTTCACCTGCTGCGAGCAAAAGTTCAGTTCAGAAACCAAGAAAGTAGAGTCTGAACAATTTTCCTTTCTTCTCGTCCTTTTTCAACAGTCTCCCACATTTTCTGATGAAGGAAAATGCCTGAATCGTTCTTAACTCTTCCAGCAAAGGTGGATTTTTCTGCACTCTCTTTTCTCTGAATATCCTGCTTATCCCCACTAGCAATTATTATCTGCAGACATAATGCTGACACTGCAGTATTCATTAGAAGCTATAGACTGTGTCCTCAGAGATGGGGCATACCCCCAATTCTCAGTTCACTTCTCCCCTTGAGTGTGTGTGTATGTCCTTTAGGGATGTGGAGAGAGCATGTATTGAGCGGCAATCACAGGGCATGAGAGGAGGTCCCTGGAGTCTCTCTTTCACGTGAATATAGGTGCTCCACATTCTGGTGCATGAGTCTGAGATAGGCACTCTAAGACAGGCACTTGTCTTCTGTCTGGTGCAAAGAAAGTCTCACTGTTGGTTGAGGTCAGAGCCCCGTCAAAATATCCTGCACCAACTTCAAAGAGCATTTAACTCAGTTTTTTTGAAGAAGTGAATGTATCCACAGCATCAGAAAGGGGAGGGCGGTGCTGAAAATCTGGAGGTAACATTACTGTAAGACAAGATTAGTGTAAATCCATGGAGGTGCTCCTGAGGCTGAGAAACACACAGGGTGTGGAAAAAACAACATGTATTTTAAAGGAATCATAGATCAAAAGCAAGTTTACCAAGCCGACCAGCCCATGACTCCCACTGTGAGACGTGACAGCCTGCCATGACTAACTCCTTCGCCGATTATATCAGGCAGCTTTTCAGAACACCTCGATATCCCCTTGTGGGGAACCTTGTTCTGCCACTGACCCTCTTCAAATGCAGCCCATTGTCACTTAAGTAATGAGAGAAGGAACAGGGCTTGAAAGAGCTCAGAGCAGGTCTTGATACTTCTCTATAAAAGTGAAATCCTGTTTTTCAGAATCTTCAAGTTCCTCTTCTTCCCCATGGGAAGGAAATAAAGATGTCTAATAATCAAATCTTTTATATCTTCAAAATATGCTTTACAAACTGTAATGTTACCCATCAGCCTCTCTTGTATGTAAGGAATTAGAGAAATAGAAACCAAGAAAACCCAGATCAGCATAGGAGATTCAATGAAAAATAGCACAATATGGTTAGAAAACAGTTACAAATAAGATACTGTATAAAATCAATCGTGGTAAGATCAGTCATATTTGAAGAACTTGACTTCAAAAATATTTGTAGGATCATGAGGTTTGCATATACAACTCTGAAGCATAGAAAGAAGAACTGAAAATGGCAAATTGTAAGCAATATATCTTAAAAGATGCAATTTTTAACAAGTGATTTAGGCTTTGTATCCCAGAGCCTATATGGGTTCAAATCTTGATATCACTACTTAGGAAATATATGACCATGAATCTGTTACTTTATTTCACTACTTGTTTCTGAATGAAAAGAGAGACAGAATCACCCATATTGGAATGTAAGTTGAATTTAAAAAGTAAAGAAGCCATTGGTGCATGATGATTGTGATATAGCAGTTAGATCATGGAGAAGAGAGAGATGGGTGCCAGAAGTGGAAATAATGTTATAAAAAAATGTTTAAATGTTTACTTCCTCAGTGCCGGGTAGTAAGGAAATGGATACTGTAGCAAGCTAGGGAACCCTGCTACAACATCATAAAACATCTGCAATAACTTGGAAGGCAGACCAAGTACCC